TTGCCCTCAACGTGACACCATTACAGTGTGACCAGGTAAATGCTTCTAGCTGGACACCACACTACTGTAAATGCTGCTGAAGGCTTACCTCAGTTTATCATTATTCCCTTCGTTTTGAAAGTGAGCAACAGCAAAAAGAGGATTAATTAAACATTAAAGAACACTGTTCTGTTGGTAAGCTTCTAAAGATAAAGTCATTTTTGGAACTGAAATTAGAATAATGAAATATATGAAACAGAATGGTTGTTTGCAGAATAATACATTCAGGTTATGTTATTGTAGATCTGGCACATGGTGATAAAATGTACTGGTGAACTTAAGACTCCCCATTCAGTATCACGGTTTTCCTAATTATAGACACAACAAATGATAAAAGACAATCGGAGGCTGCAGGTCGTCGTCCGAGCAGCAGAGAAGCTCATTGGCTGCAGCCTCAACCTCACTGATTCACTACCTGCCCCAAGAACAAAAAGGGGACCTGGTGAGATCATCACTGACCCCTCCCACCTCGGCCATAAACTCTTCCAAGTTCTTTTTTTTTGGGGATGGATCTGATCCATCAGAACCACCAAATCAAGAGAAGAGCAAAGCTTTTTCTCTGAGTGGTTGCTCTTCTCAACACTTGATCCGCACTCTGCCGCTGGACTACTGCATCTGGGCACTTCACTCTATATTTAATTTTTTTATTTTTTTTTATTATTACATATTTATTTGCTTCATTAAAACGAATCCCTTGCTTATTCCCTTTAGGCTTTCTTTTAATGTTTATTAGGATAGAATATATCATGTCAAATTCAGTGTATACACACCTACTTGTCTCATAAAAATGATTGACTGAAGTCAACTTCCAAAAACTATCGGCGCTCTGACAGTGAAGCTCTTGTAGATTGTAAAACGAGAGTTAACTGTAAGATTACCATATGTCCTGGGAAACCTGGACATTAATTTTCGTTTTACAGGATGATTAGGGAAGACTTATTATGTTGGGTTGAAATTGTATATATATTATCACTCACGTGTATTCTCAAGGATGCATAACTTGTTCCATGTAGCACCTGTGTAAATGCTCAACAGTAACTTTCTATCACGTGCAGCAGATGAGGCCACCTCTGACGCACGTTCTGTTGTTCCTGTTCCCACTCCCACATTCCCATTGCTTCCATCCCATTCTAAAATGTTGTTCACACCCACAATGTAACCCGATATCAGTATGTTTACCTTATAGTATAAATAAACTCTGTCGAGGGGCCACACCCTTGTAGCTCACACTGAGGTGTGGTTACCCTTGCAGCAAGTAAATCAGCGCGTGTCTCATACTCTGTGGGCCGGCAGCCGGGGGAGCTGATCACTCTCCTCGACATATTATAAAAGAAGTGCTGTCTGATTGGCCAGTGAACGTGAAAAACTCAGTAATATTCTGATCCTCGGACACGTCCTCTTTTTCATCTCACCAAATATGGCACCCTACCCATACCATTATCCTTCGTCCACCAAACTTTACAGGTGACACAATGCAATCAGGCAGGTAACGTTCTCATGGCATCTGCCAAACCCAGACTTGTCCATCTGACTGCCAGACAGAGAAGCACGATTTGGTCACTCCGCAGAACACATTTCCACTGCTCCAGAGGCCAGTGGTGGTGTGCTTTACGCCACACCATCCGATGCTTGGCATTGTGTCTAGTGATGTGAAGCTTGCAAAACCATGGAAGCCCATTCCATGAATCTCCCAGTGCACAGTGTTTGTGCAGGAGTTAATGCCAGAGAAAATTTGTAACTCTGCAGTTATTGAGTCAACAAACCATTAGCAATTTTTACACGATATGCACCTTAGCACTCTGTTACTTAACGTGGCCTGACACTTTGTCGCTGGGTTTCTGTTCCTAAACACTTTCACTTTGCAATAATACCACATACAGTTGACTGTGGAATATATAGCAGGAAAGGAATTTCACAAACTGACATGTTGCAAAGGTGGTAACCCATGACAATACCGACGCAGCTCCATTCAGAAGGGCTCCCGAGACGTCATCGCCGTGGTCATCGGCTCTACGTGGATGGGCAGCTCTACCGCGACCCTAACATCACTCCCTGGTTATATTAACGCCACTCCAGATAAGAATCCTTTATATTTTTCTTCTTTTCTCTAATCCTCTTCCATTAACATCAATCTAGCTTATACATGTTAATTCGTTAATTTAATGTTATGTCATAAGAAATACACTACCCTCAGTCTCCACAGCGCTACAGTGCTAACAATGTTTTCGTTTCTTTGTTTCTCAATTATACCCTTACCCGCGAGCCCCTTTGTATGTCTTTTTCACTTCTCCCTGCTTTCCCTGCACCGATCACCTGCTTTAAATTTCTACTCAGTCACACACAACACCCTCGATTTTTACACATCTGCACGGCACGACCATGTACATATGTACTCAGTTTCACCACAACCACTCCGACCTTATAGTGCACACAGACATATAGGATACACACGCACACAAGCGCTCACACGCTCGTTCGTATCTGACTCATTTGCACGTGCAATATTAGTTACACACACACGTCTATGAGCACACTAAGGTTTGTCTCATGGAATGTGCATGGAGCTGGCTCCAGAGAGAAGAGGTTAAAAATATTTAGCCAGCTTAAAAAACTACAGGCAGACGTTGTTTTATTACAAGAGACTCATAGACCTGCCACAGCTACAGATGAACTTAAAACACCTGAGTTTCCTAATGTGTTCTCAGCCTGTTATAGCAATTTTTATACATAAAAATGTTAATTTCGCAGTACTCAACACAATTACAGATCCAGAGGGTAGATTTATAATCATAACTGTGTGCGTGTGTGTGTGTGTGCCCAGTGACGGCCTGGCACGCTGTCCGCGGTTCGCCCCGTCCCTCTGCCCTGTGACAGGCTCCAGGTCCCCCTGTACCCCAGACCAGGATAAGCAGCTGGAGGATGGATGGAGGAATTTTTGTTTAGTTTTGTCTTTTGGTATGAAGCTTCACTGAAACATGCTTTATGCTCCATGTGGAAACCATGGCGTCAGGACATGTTGCTAGAGCAGTGAAAAGCCAGTGGTTTTGTCACTTCCCTCTTGCTTCAGCTTCTGCATATTAGCACATGGGGAAGTGAGTGTCAGTCTCCACAGATCCGGGATCAGTGATACACGTATGGATCCTCTGATGCTCCTGTTTCTTCTCATTGCTGGGCTCACAGGTGAGTGTCTCTCATTACAGTGGTACTGAGTAGAGATCTCTCTCCTGCTGCTCACACACTGTCAGCTGCAGTTTGGAGATCATGATGTCAGCTGTAAAATTATGGTGGTCTTAAGTTAAAATACTTTTCACATTCTTACAGATGTACCATGAATCAGGTTATTGATACTATAAGACTAATAGTTAAATATACTGTGGCACTGGGCAGACCAAGACATTGTGGCAGTGAATTAACACGGATTCACATGAAACTGCTTTTTACTCACAGTCATTAAAAGGACCACACACACGCAACAACACAGCGAGACCATGAATGGCAGGGAAAGATGGGGAAGTTATACTAAGGACAGTAAGTCACACACACGGCGGGTAATTACACAATGGCTAAGACACGCGAAGATCAGGCAAGACCCGAGTACAACCACTGTTAAAGGCAAACTCGACAACTGGATACACAGAACAACAAGTATTTACACTGACAAATACAAACAGGGGCTATATAGTACACACACTCATGAGGCATTCTGGGACATACAGTTGCCTCTGGCTCAACAATACTGTGTGATACTGTCATCTCTCACATTTAGTGTTTAAGCAGTGGAAAGACTCAGATAAAATGCAGATAAACTGTCCCTGTCTATTGTACCCTTTGGTTTTCTGTGAGGCCTGCGATCGATCTTACTGGGGTCATTTCAGCAGCACAGGTGGTTATGTGAGCAGACAGCCGGGATGCCATCAGTCATTTCTGTGTGACAGACAGAGGGGTCTAAACACCCAGCTTCATGTGTTACTGCAGAAGGTCTCAGTGCTTATCAGGGGGCAAGATCAGTGTTAGGGGTCAAGGCTAAACCTGGTTGTCTTTCACTCTGCAGCAGATTTGGAGAGCTAGTTACCCTCTAGCTGGTAGAGACTGGGGGCAGCGTGGGGGCCTCACACCTCCAGGCTTGTGGTTTGCATGTCCGGCCCCCAGCTCTTTGTGGGCAGTTTGCATGGTCTTCCTGTAACTATATCGGATTCCTCTGAAGTGTCTGGCTTCCCCCCACAGTTCAGAAACATATCATTCATGGGTCACATGTGAAATTCTGGTGCAGAGGGTATAATGTGAGTTCATGTACTTCCATAGTACACAGTGACTCTCCACAGGAGGGTAAAGTGTCAATCAGAGATGATCCTGACCAGCGAGTCTTCACTGTGACCATCAACAATCTGACAGCTGGGGACTCTGGTTATTACTCCTGTGGTCTGAAGATCAGTGGAGATTCAGATGTTAGAGATCAGGTTTACCTGTCAGTCACTGATGGTAAGATGTCTGTACTGCACACTGTAGACAGTGATATGGACAGTATGTGACATGTCAGTCAGTCAGAAAGGAAGGACACAAACACTGAAAGTACAAGAATATTTAAGAAATATTTTTACATTTTTAAAATGTATGGAATAGATTCCCAATTTTACTTTTGTTCAATAGCATAATTCAAACCTTTGAAAAGCATCCGTTTAAATTAGTTGTCTTTCACTCTGCAGCAGGTTTGGAGAGCTAGTTACCCTCTAGCTGGTAGAGACTGGGGGCAGCGTGGGGGCCTCACACCTCCAGGCATGTGGTTTCCATATCCGGCCCCCAGCTCTCTGTCCTGTTTAGTT